AGGTGGGCCTGTGTTGCATAAGAAAGCAGGCTGAGCAGGGGCCTGTGCTCCGGCTCCTGCTTCCAGGTTCCTGCCCTGAGTTCCTACCTTGGGCTCCCTGATGAACTACAACCTGGGAGATGTAAGCTGAATAAACCCTTTCCTCCCCAAGTTGGTAGTGGTCAGAGTGTTTTGTCACAGCAATGAAGAAACAAACTAGGACACCATCTTTTTGCAGTCTAGGTTCTGGGAATTTGAACTCAGGTCCTCATGCTTGTGTAATGAGCTCTCTTACCTGCAGAGCCATCTCACAACACTATTTCACTGAACAAGGCAGCCAAAAGGAAGACAGAATGAGGACAGTCTAGTTTGGGAGTTGAGTTGCCAGTATCAGTCTCCCACCCCTTTACTTGGAGGCAATATCATGACACTACAGCCCCCAGAACAATCACAATATACATTTATTTATGTAGGTATTTATATGGAATTGCGCACACAGTAGATACGTTTGACCCCTTGGGTCCAGCTGTAGGAGGTCATGCAAATTACCCAGACTGGGTTCTGCTCCCGGGAAAGGTGGGTGGAGTGCCAGACGAGGTGTGCCCACAGAGAGGCCTGGCTTCCAAGCACTGGGCAGAGCCTGGGCATGGTCTGCCCTTAGGTTATGAAAGAGATGGGTCTGTGGGTCCTGGGGACAGTTTCCTGCTGGGGACATGGGAGGAGAAATGGTATCCATGGGCCAGAGCTCCTACACATAGGCATTTTTGCCATATTTGCCAAAGCTGCTGTCCCCTTCTTCCGAGGTGTTTGGGGGGACCACTACTGAAGATGCCTTGTAGGGAAGCTGGATCCTGTTAGGGGAAAAGGGAGGCCAGGTCACTGGTAGGGTCACAGGGCAGGTGGTTGTCACTCTCCATCCTCCTTCGGAATGTCCAGGGTTTGTCCTCTCCTTACCTGATGGGCTGGTTCTCCTTGGCAGCGCAGCAGCAGGCAGAGCAGAGACAGATCCCACCCAGGAGGGAGAGCAGAGAGGCACTCCAGCCCAGGTAGAGGGCAGGACCCAACTCATACCTGGAGCAGGCAGGGTGGGGAATAGGGGAGGTGAGCCACAGCCCAAGAGGGTCCAGGTGGAGGAGACCCACCCGCTGTCCCCAAGGGTGGGATCTTCACTCACTTCGTTCCAACATACTGGGGGTTGAAGAAGTCTGAGGTGATGTTGTTGGCATACCAGGAGATAGCCACCATCCCGCAGGTACCTGGGGAGGTGAAGGAGGCTTGATCTAAGCGCCCCTTTCTAACAACTGCAGCTGGGGCCCATGGAGCTGTGGAGATGGAAGGGACGGGGAGAGGCAGAGCAGGAGCCAGGGCCGATAGATGAAGTCCAAGAGCAACAGTTCCTTTTTCTAGCTCCAGCCTGTGACCCAGACTGGCAGGCCACATGGGTCCCAAGATAGCTAGGTTTGGAGTTTTGTTTTTGAGATAGGGTTTTTTTTTTTTTTTTCCCCCTTTTGTCTTTTTGAGACAGGGTCTCCCTGTAGCCCCAGCTGGCCTGGAACTCGCTATGTAGACCAGGCTGGCCTCGAACTTATATTGTGTGTGTGTGTGTGTGTGTGTGTGTATGTGTGTACACATGCACATATGAGTACATGCCTAAACTCCAATCCCCTAGCTATGTAAGCATAAGCATTGAAGAAAACACTCTTCTCCTCACACCTGGCTGAACCTGGCTCAGCTGGCTACCAACACTGCTGATGGATCAAAGTTGTGGTCCAGAAATTTGGAGAGTACAGACAGGGTTGGGAGAGGGGAGAGCAGAGCAGGGGAGGGCAGAGCAGGGGTCAACACAAAGGGCAAGGCTAGGCAAGCAGGAGTGGGGACAGGGGAGCTGGAGGTGAGGACCACCCCATCCCCATGTATCCCTGTCCCTTAATTACCAGCAAGTATATGTAGGGCCCCTGCGATGGCTGCTATCTTGGCCTTCCTGGGCAGGTCCACATTGCCAACATTGGTGCAGCGCAGACCCACCATGCCTAGGAGGAGGCCCAGGGAACCGAGAAGGATGGCAGTAATCATGAGGGCACGGCAGGCCTGGATATACCCTGGGGAGGAGACAGGGAGGCAAAGCCATCAGCCTTTCCCTCCATCACCTTCCTGCCCCACAGAGCTGGCCCCTCCCAAAACCTCCTTCAGCATGTTTTTATGCCCAGTATCCTGTTCTTAACAATCCTAGCGTTTGGGCTGGAGAGATCACTCAGTGGTTAAGTGCACTTGCTTGTCTGTCAGAGGACCTGAGTTCGATTCCCAGTGCCACTGTCAAGGGGCTCAGAACCACCTGTAACTCTGACACATTCTTCTGGCTTCTATAAGCACCTGCTCTCATATGTGCACGCATGTGCGCACACACACACACATACACACACACAATAAAAAAAATTGGACTAGAGAGATGGCTCAGTGGTTAAGGGCACTGGCTGCTCTTACAGAGGACCTAGGTCCAGTTCCCAGAACCCATATGGCTGCTAACAACCATTTGTAACTCCAGTTCCAGGGAATCCAACACACTCTTCTGGTTTCTGTGGGCATGGTACACTTACATACATGTAGACGAAACACTCATACACATAAAATTAAATAATTTTAAAAACTCAACCCTAGCATCCTCTCCCTTGAACTAACTCCTGATTCTCCTGGCTCAGTCTCCCAGTTGCTGGGATTACAAGTATGTGCTACCATGCCTAGTACCACCAAACATTCCACCTCTACCCACCATACACCATACACCAGCAGCCACCTCCCCACAGTGAAAATACAGTCACCTTTGGTGGACATCCATTGCTCTATCAGATTACACCCATCTGTTCTGTCAGGTCCAACAGAAGCTGTGCCTGAGTACCATGTCCCAGTGTCCACCTGCCTCGGAGCCCAACCCAGTGCCTAGCACCAAGTAGAACATCTTCAACTGAGTTTCTTCTGGAAAACCAGCAGGGGGCAGCACTGACTCAGAGCAGAGGGTGGAGGGAAGTGTGATTTGGAAGATGGGATATCTGGTCCTAGAGACCCATCTAAGTCAGCCCAGTTCAAAATTTTTCGGCGCCTCTGTTTCCCCTTTCTCAAAGCTGAGGAAAATCCTGGCTCCTCCTCCTGTTTTTGATGGTTGCTACATACTCCCAGGGACCTTGTACCCACTCGCAGCATGGTGTTGAAGCAAAAGGCTGGGTGTCTGCCAGGAAAAGATGAATTTGCTGGATTTAGGAGGTTGGAAGGAAAGGCAGAGCTCTCTGAGAGGACATACTGATTCCCAGCCACTCTTTTTTTGTTGTTGTTGGTCTTTTTGAGACAGGGTCTCCCTGTAGCCCCAGCTGTCCTGGAACTCACTATGTAGACCAGGCTGGCCTTGAACTCACAGAGATCCACCTGCCTCTGCCTCCCAAGTGCTGGGATTAAAGGTGTGCATCACCACACCTGGCTCTAGCCACTCTTTCTAGAGAGTTACCTACCAACCTGCTCTGATGGACAAAGAAGAGATGACCCAAGGGCCCAGTGGCTGAAAGGGTTGGGGTACACCGTGTATGAAGTGATCCATTGGGATAATCAGGCTGGGCATAGTAGGACAGGCTTTTAATCACAGCACTAAGGAGGCTGAGGCAGGAGGGTTACACGTTCAAGACCAGCCTGGGCCTCAGAGAGAATTCAAGACCAGCCTGAGTAACTCAGCAAGACTGTCTCAAAATAAAAAGTGAAAAGAGGGCTGGAAATGTAGCTAAGAGGTACAGTATTTGCTTAGAAACCCCCAGCAAGGAGTTGGGGGTGTGGCTCAGTGGTAGAGCACCTCCCTAGAATCCCCCAGTGAGGGGCTGGGGCATGGATCAGTAGTAGAACATCTACCTAGCATACACATGGCCCTGGGTTTAATCCCCAGCACTGAGTGGAAAAAAAGATAAGATCCCTCTTGGGACTCAAAAAGCTATGGAGGAATAAAATAGCCTTCAGCTCAGACACAATGAGTTGGAATCCCAGCTTTCCCTCTACCTCTTCTGACTCTAGGCAGGTTGTAACTCTGCAGAGTTGTCTGGCTTTGGTAAAGTAAAGTTAGCACTGTAAACATTTCCAAAAAGCATAGATGGCGAGGGAGCAGATGTCCACACAAACGGAAAGGCTAGGCATGGTGGTGCACACCTGTAATCCCAGCACTTGGGAGGCTGAGGCAGAAGGATCTCTTTCAGTTCAGAGCTATTCTGGTCTACGTAGTGAGGTCAGGGCCAACCTGGGCTGTATAGAGACTATCTCAAAAACCACATATATGGGAGGCTGGGGAGATGGTTCAGTGGTCTAGAATACTCACTGCTCTTCCAGAAGACCCAAGTTCAGTTCCCAGCACCTATGTTAGGCAGCTCACAACCATTTGTAACTCCAGCTCCAGGGGATTCAACACCAGACTTCTGAGGGCATTGCACACACATATTTAAAAATAATAAAAATAAAAATTTTTTTGAAACAGGGTCTCACTATGTAGCACTGGCTGATGGGGACTCACATAAAACTAGCCTCCAACTCACAAAGATCTGCCTACCTCTGCCTCCCATGTGATAGGAAAATGAAAATATTTTAAAAAACAAACACACACACACAAACAAAAAAACAAAAGACACAAAAGAGGGGGACTGGTGGGACACACCTTTAATCTCAGCACTTGGGAAGCAGAGGCAGGCAGATCTCTGTAAGGCCAGCCTAGTCTACATAGTTCCAAGCTAGCCAGCCAGAGCTACATAGTGAGATCCTGTATTAAGAAAAGATACAAGGGGGCTGGAGAGATGACTCAGCAGTTAAGAACACTATTCTAGTAGAAGACCCGTGTTTGAATCCTAGCACCCACATGGTAGCTAACAACTGTCTGTAACTCCAGTTCCAGGGGATCTGACAGTCTCCTCTGTCCTCCTCAGGCATTGCATGACACGGGTGCACTTATATACATGCAGGCAATGCATGCAAACACATAAAATAAAAATAAAATATTTTT